TCTTTCTTTCTTTCTTTCTTTCTTTCTTTCTTTCTTTCTTTCTTTCTTTCTTTCTTTCTTTCTTTCTTTCTTTCTTTTTTAACATTTGAGACAGGATCTCATGTGGCCCCAGCTAGCCTTGAACTCACTATGTAAAGGTGTCTTTGAACTCCTGCCTGAACCTCGAAAGTGCTGGGATTACAGGTGTTGTCCACCATACTTGGCTCTATAACTGCTGTGACAATCAGGTTGTTCATCCTGTTTTAAGATTATGTATTTATTGCTTTTCTCATTGTTGTATGTGGTGTTTTTTTTTTTTTAAATAAGAATGGCCTCCATAGGCTCATATGTTTGAATACTTGCTCACTAGGGAGCAGCACTATTTGAAAGGATTAGAAGGATTGGGAGGTGTGGCCTTGTTGAAGTAGGTGTGGCCTTATTGAAGAAAGTGTGTCACTGGGGTTCTGCTTTGAGGTTTTAAAAGTATATGCCAGGCCATGTGTGTTCTCTCTCTCTCTCTCTCTCTCTCTCTCAGCTTGCAGATCAGGATGTACTTCTTAGCTACTGCCTGCAACACCATGTGTGTTGCCATGCTCCTTGATAATGATGGACTCAGTCTCTGAAACTGTAAGCAAGCCCTGAATTAAATGCTTTCCTTTTAAGGGTTGCCTTGTTTATGGTGTCTCTTCACAGCAATAGAACACCGTGACTGAAACATGGTGACAAAATATTCCACAAAAGAAACTTAAGGAAGAAAAGTTTATTTTGGCTCATGGGCATAGCCCATCCTAGTGAAGAAAGCATGGCAGTGGGAGCACAATGAGACAGCGGGAGCACCGTGAGGCAGTGGGAGCACGGTGCACACAGTTAGGACAATTGAATTGATGAGTTTGGAATTTAATTTCCTTCCTTCCTTCCTTCCTTCCTTCCTTCCTTCCTTCCTTCCTTCCTTTCTTTCTTTCTTTCGTTCTTTCGTTCTTTCTTTCTTTCTTATGTATTCTGGGGAGTCCAGGCCATGGAATGGTGTTGCCCACATTTAAGTTGTCTTTTCATGTCAATTAACTGAACCTAGAGGGAGAAATCTTTGCAACTATGTTCAGAGGCTTGTCTCCTAGGTAATTCTAAGTCCTGTCGATGATTACATCAACCAGATTTAAATCGATGAATCAC